CTAGTCCAATGCTAGTGAGAACTTGTAGAAATGGGTTAGTTCAATGTTAGATCTTTAGACCGTTTTTGCATTAGGTTCATACCTTATGTGACACTTATTGCATTTCATGCAATTTTTCCTATTTCTAAGTTATTTTAATTTGTATAATATTTTTTCTACTATTATTCTCTTACTCTCTAGATGTTTAGATCATATCATTTATAATTGCATCTCATTTTAGAAAATTAGAAATAGGTTAGTCCATTTGTTTGCGTAAGTTAGACGAGTCACCTTTCAAATATGGGAAATGAACGAGTGTGATTTTTTAACCTTAGCACGCTCTTTCCCCCTCTATAAGAAGGAAAATTATGTCACGAATTTTAGTTTCCCGTATCCGTTATGTTGCATTCCTCTCTTTTAGGTCATGTATATTTATCTATATTTTCTAATTTTTTGAATATCATGTTTTGCATATTCGTGACCTTTTCAAAGAATCATATTTGGATTTCATAATTAATGTGACTTGCACCAATTAAATTTTGAAGAGACATTTCGACCCTTTCGATATCTTTTAGGTCTAGATTTGCATCCATATAAAAATATCCAAATGTGATAAGTTTTATAGGTTAGATTAGAAAGATTTTTAACTAAATCTCGCAACTAACCTTGGTTAGATTGAAAGGGTGCCTAAGGTTTGACCATATCAAATCTCTGCATTTCCTTACTTCAACCGTGACTTCCAAAATTTTTTATTTTATTTTTAAAGATTTGGAGTCGTCTAAAAGGGTTTTTATTTGTTTTCACTTAAAAATATATTTTGGATAACTTGGTACACTTAAACTCAATATCAAGTGACGACTCCTATTTTTCTTAAAAAATCCTTTTTAGACTAAATTTTGGATCCAAACCGTTGCACTTTATATGTCCCATTTTAGGCCTTTTTCTTCATATATTTTATAAAAATCAAAAATCATTTTTGAAAACACCATTTCCTTTTTATTTTAAAAAATGGGGCGCGATAGTGCTTCTTTGCTAACCGAGGATAGAGTTATAAATGTAGTAGCCACTATAGGATCGGTTATGCATGTTTGTTTCTTAGAATCCAAAGAATTCACCCTAACTTCTAGCATAAAAATCCAATTACGTGTAGGCGAGTTGTCATGTTTATTTGTAATCTAACTAGTATCTAAATATCCTTCTAAAACTGAAGTATCCAATTACGTGCACACGGACGGTTGGAATTTAAGAAGTATGGAGGGGAAAAGAGAAATTAAATTCAGAATCTCTAATTTTTAAAATTTTAACTTTAGTTATCATATTAAGACCACCTTGACAATAAATTGATTCCTACCTTTTAAACTTATGAAAAACATTTATTAGTTGCACTTAAAGTCCGCAAGCTATATGTTATACATTTAACATGAAATTATTGCAGTCGACTCTGTCACTGACAGACAGGATTGTTTGCTGAAGTCCCATGGGCATTAAGTTTGAACCAGAGGACAGGTGGCTTGACCCAATTAGCGGTTAATTAACATAACTTCCTTACAACTTTTCCAGTTAATAAGGATCCTTATTCCTTGTTAAAAAGAAACCGCAAATTGGCAAAGACAGGGATTGAAGCAAAGGAAAAGAGAGAGAGCTTAGTTGACTGAATAGAAGTTGGGGCGATAAAGATCAAATAGGCAAAACTAATCCACCAAAATTGGATATGAGAACGCAAATATTGCTCAAGGATCAAACAAGCAAGATACCAATTTCATATTTTTGTCATAGTTAATAGTAGTTAATTAACTTTCATCAATAAAGTACCTTTGGTCGAGTTTTGATCCTTTTTTTTTTTTTGAGTCTTGTTATTTCTACTTGATCATTGGAATCAATTCTATACGTATAGGATCTTATTTCAATTATTGAAAGTTTCAAGCGATTGCTTACCAAATGGGTTCGACAAGTCAGCTTTATTATTTCTTTTTAACTTTGTCTGTCACCTTAATTCATTTTCTTTTCTTCTTCGTTTCATTGTCACTTTAGCTGGTCGAAAAGCAATTTTAGTCCTCTTAGGTGAGGCTTGGGCACATCTGTACGAACTTTTCATCTCCATATTTATTTTCTTAGCACAAACAAATTTGGCGACTGCAGTGGGAGGCTTGCAGGACATACTCTGTGTAATTGACAAAGCAAAAATGAAAATGGCTAAAATGAAAGATCGAGATTCGATCAACTAAAAGAGACATTGAAGAACATGGAGATATATTTCCATGAAAGTCAGTGCAAAAGATGAAAACTCAAACTAAACTGAAGCTAGAACAGAAGTGAGAACAAAAGAATTAGATCAACCAAGAGATTTAATATTGGCTCTGGTTAATCTATATCAGGTGTAATGGCATGGCCAAGTATTAAATTCTCCCATGCATCAAGAAACATTCAACTATGTGATGAACTGATTTTGGCATTTCTTATTCCCAAGTTTGTTAGTTGCAGTTCGTAATATCGGCCGAGTCGTAATCGGAACGGAGGGGACCGGTATAATACCGATTCCCGAATCGCGAATATTACCATATTCGTGAGGATTCGCTTTGACTCGGTCGATATTGACCGATTTGAACCCGTGATACATGATCTTGGCTGATATATCTGAGTTAATTTGGAGTCGACTCAAATATTTTTTTTTAAATTGTGTCTTTTTTGGTATTTTTCAATTTTAGTAATTTTTTCAAAAATTTTGCAAACTTTTATGTGCTATAATGCGCGTGTCATCCGATATTCAATTGATATATCGCGACAAATGTGGAACAACCGCGACTCGTGATAGCGAACCATGGTTGCACTAGTGTGGCGTTTTTTTTTTTTTGGGGTACTATGGATTCTGCAATCAACTAGCTTGTTCTTAGTGCTTTCCCTCCTTTCTACTATCATTATCAGTCACAAAGAGTCTTTTTAACTCTTTATCAGTCCGAATAGAAATAAGAAGTAATTGTTGGGGTCCTGGCCACGAGCGTCTGTAGAAGAAAATGTCCCACCTAACATGCCATGGCTGATCCATCATTTTCTTATATGGGGGTCCTTATCAGGTGAATCTAGTTTTTTTTTTAATTAGTAATAAAAATTTGTTTGAAGTGTTTTTCCCTAACGTTTGAAACTTTGATTTAGTTTGCTTTACATTTTAAAATTAATCATGAAAATTACTCCACATATGTCCTCGAGAGAGAAGCCGTTTCTTATTAAAAATTTCCGGTCAAAAAATTAATTGTTTCATGAAACAATTTTCTTTTGGTTTTTTAAAGAAAGAAATGAAAAAAATAAATAAAGAATTTTAAGAAACTAGAAGGATAACGTAGCTGAGGATCACCTAACATGGTGAAGTACCAATCAATGGTTTGGAAAAACTGAATGGTTTGGCTCTTCTATGATGGATTCTTTCTCCATTTCGTGCAATATACATTTGGATGCATGTCGTGTCTTCATTTGTTAGAAAAGAATATGATAATTTTAAATTTTACTAACTCTACCCTTGATAATAAATGAAGATACGTGCGATGCATCTAAATATATGTATTGCGGAAAATGTAAAGAGAATTCACTGGAAAGGATTCAAGTCCATAAGGAAGACCTAAAGCTGTCAACTCATTAACATGCATTAAGTGGATACAAAAGCAGAAAGCTACTCAAGTCTTCAAAAGCAAGGGAGAGATGGAGAGATCATCATCCAAGAGCAAGAGCAGGAGCAAGAGCAATAGCCAGTGCATCTTCCCAGCGGTGGCTTGGCTGTTGCTGACTACGACAGCTCTGCTTAGTGCAATTAGTATTCAAAGTGTTAATGTTAGCATTAGCTAGGATTGGGACAATTCCACGATCAGCAGTATTGTAGCCGACGACCAAGATGGGAAAGTGCAGAGGCCCCGTCCTGGATCTGGACACGTGGCAGCCCAGGTGCGGCCGAACTGGGCCTTGGCCCCAGGCCTCTGGCAGCCGTCCTGGGCCGCGCCGCTAGGGCTCCTGGAGGGGGCGAGCATCCATCCCGAAGAGGTCGGGGACGATCCCCCTGAGTGTGGGATAGGGGCTATTCTGGGCAGGTCCCGAAACGTACGGAGGTCGGCCTTCCTCACAGGTATAAGTAGTAGCACACGTCGACTGTACAAGGTACGCTCACTATTGGCAAATTGCTCCCGGCTGTTTATACTTCCCGTGAACTCCTCTCACCAGAAAACTAACTTGGTCGTCGGAGCGCCCTCGGGGACCAACCTCGGGCCCCCCGTTGTTAGCTCATTCTTATCTGTTTTGCAGGCTTGGAGCCAGCTCTTCCATCAGCACCCCGAGCTCATCAGTTCAGCTCGGTCCGGGGAAGCTCAGCGCTTCTTCAGTTGGCGCCGTCTGTGGGAACCGGAAGAGGTAAGTGCAGTTGTGCTGATGGCAAGGACGCGATCCAAGCGAGCGGTAGAGAGCACCGGTCCTGGAGGCGGTGAGGGGTCCCAACGAAGAGAGGCTGAGGCATCCCGGGGCGCCGGGGGCTCAGCCCTTTCAGGAGAAAGGAGGCAGCAGATCCTCCAGTTCGTGACGGAGAACCTCCCCATGCTGGAAGACATCATCCGGCAGGCGAAGGAGGGGGAGGAGGCTGGAGGCGCGCAGACCTCCAAGGCGAAGGGGAAGGAGAAGGAGCCGCTCCCCGAACCCTCGGAGGATGAGTCGCGCGACCAACCCCCCAGGAGGAAACGGACACGGACGCCGCCTCGCCCGCGAGCCTCGGAAGTCGGAGACAGCGAAAGGTACTCCCGCTACAGGTCCACGGGGAGCAGGCCGAGGGGTCCCTCGCCGAGGAGGCCTGCGAGGAACGGTCTTGCCCGCTCCCCAGCCCGGTCTGCCAAGAGCCGACCGCGCAACCCTCTTCACTTGAAGCCTGTCCAAGACGAACTCGAGCAGATCTTGCGCCCGCAGCTGTACGCGGACAACTACTCCACCTCGCCTTCCCCCGGGAGATAGAGGATTACCCCCTGCCCCGGAGGTTCAAGATCCCAAGCATCGAGATGTATGATGCTTCCACTGACCCGGAAGACCACCTCTCGGTCTTCCTGACGCACATGCGTCTGCAAACCGCAGCGGATGAGATCCGTTGCAAGACCTTCCCTATGTTCCTGAAGGGGAAAGCTCGGCTCTGGTTCCAGGGCTTGGCACCAGGGTCTATTCGGAGTTTCCCCGAGCTGGCTAGACAGTTCGTCGCCCAATTCGTCTCCTCGAAAACCTACGCGAAGAACGCCACCCACCTGATGTCTATCAGGCAGAAGCCCGATGAGTCGCTGAGAAACTTCATGACCTGCTTCAACGCGGAGAGCTTGCAGGTCAGGGACAAGGATGAAAAAGTGGTAATGGCCGCCTTCACGAACGGGCTCAGGGTAGAGGAGCTCTTCTACGAGCTGGCCAAGAAGCCTCCCGTAAACCTGGAGGAGCTCCTAACCCGGGCACACGCGGCCGCCAACGCGGAGGAGGCAGGCCGCCTGAAGAAGGAGTCAGATCGGGAGCTCGGAAATCGGAAGGGTCGGGCGAACCCCCAAGAGGGCAAGGACATTCCGGCCAAGAAGAATGTGTTTGATCGGCTCTCGAAAGAGAAGGCGCCTGCTCCGCCGCCACTCCCAGAGAAGAGCTACACCCCTCTGACACGGCCTAGAGCTCAGATCTTGGCTGTTATGGAGGCGGAAGGGCTGGGAGATCGGCCGCCTAAGATGGGGACACCTCGGAACAAGAGGAACCAGGACCGGTACTGTGCCTTTCACCGTGACGTGGGACATGACACGGAGGGATGCTGGGCCCTACGGAAGGAGATCGAGGATCTGATCCAGCGAGGTTTTCTGGGACGGTTCGTACGCCATGGCAGGTCGGGCCAGGAGTTCGGGCGCCATTATTATGGAGACCGGCGTGAGGGACAGCGCCGCGACCGCCCTGAGCGGCGTGACGCTCCTCGGGGCCACTCTCCAGACCAGGGCATCCAGAACTTGACGGGGGTGATCAACACCATTGCCGGAGGCCCCACGGGGGGGACAGCCATACATCTCGGAAGAGCAAGCGACCGCCCCCCGAAGGGGACGACTCCTTGAAATGCTTGCGCATGGACGAGGAGATTACCTTCGGACCAAGGGATGCGGTTCCCCTGGCTTCCGGGAACCACGAGGCCATTGTGATAGACATTGTCACCAACAACTATCGAGTGAAGAAGGTGTATGTCGACCAAGATAGCGCGGTTGACATTATGTTCTATCGGGTGTTCAAAGAGTTCGGACTGAAGGATGACCAGCTGACCCCGGTTTGGACACCTCTGGTGGGCTTCACTGGACCACCCATCAGCTCGGAGGGGATGATCACCCTGATGGTCACGGTAGGACAGGCTCCCAAATGTCGGAACGTTCCTGTTAACTTTGTGTTGGTCAAGCAGTCGTCCCCGTACAATGTGTTCCTTGGGAGACCTGCTTTGAACGCCCTCCGAGCTATTCCCTCCACTTTCCACCTCAGCGTCAAGTTCCCCACCCCTGGAGGGATAACCGAGGTGCACGGCGATCCAGAAATAGCCAGAGCTTGCTACCTGACCACGCTCCGCGGGCAGGAAAAGGTGGTCGCCCAGACAACCAGTTTGGAGCCCTACATCCCGGGGGATGAGACCCAGCAGCTGGGCACCCAAGATAAGGTTGAGGAGTTCCCCCTAAGGGAGGATCGGCCCGACTAGGTTCTCCGCATTGGAGCCTTGTTGCCCGCCAAGGAGAAGGAGGACTTGAAGGCTCTGCTAAGGGAATACTCCCAGGTCTTCGCTTGGTCGGTGGATGACATGCCCGGGATTCCGACAGACCTGACAGTCCACCATCTCAATGTGTATCCTCATTTCAAACCGGTAAAGCAGAAGAAGAGGAGCTTCGCCCCCGAAAGGAATGAGGTGATCAGGGCGGAGGTCGGCAAATTGCTGGAGTCCAGGATCATTATGGAGGTCTACTACCCGACCTGGCTGGCCAATCCCGTCCTGGTGAAAAAGGAGGACCAGACCTGGAGGATGTGCGTTGACTTCACGAACCTCAACAAGGCCTGCCCGAAAAAGACTGCTTCCCCCTGCCAAGGATCGACAGGTTAGTGGACTCTAATGTGGGTTTTGACGTCTTGTGTTTTCTGGATGCTTTTAAGGGGTACCACCAGATCGAGATGACGGAGGATGATAGGGAGAAGACCTCCTTCATCACGGAGGAAGGAACTTACTGCTACCAGACCATGCCATTCGGGCTGAAGAACGCTGGAGCTACCTACCTGCGCTTGGTAAACAGGCTATTCCAAAATCAGATCGGCCGGAGTATGGAGGTGTACGTGGATGACATGATCGTTAAAAGCCGAACTGATCAGCAGCTCGTCCCCAACCTGAGGGAGATCCTAGATATCCTTCGAGAGAGCAGGATGCGGTTGAACCCGAAGAAGTGCACCTTCGGGGTCAGGTCAGGAAGGTTCTTGGGGTTCTTGGTGTCCCGAGAAGGGATCCGGGCCAACCCGGACAAGCTCCAAACTATAATGGACATGGCCCCTCCAAGGAATGTGAAGGAGGTTCAGCGGCTCACCGGGAGGATGGCCGCATTGAGCAGGTTCCTCTCGCGTTCCGCGGTTCGGGGGCTACCCTTCTTTCGGGTCTTGAAAGCGCCGAAGGATTTTCACTAGATTGAGAAATGCCAGAAAGCTTTCGCCGACCTGAAGACCTATTTGGCTGAGCTGCCCACTCTGACCGCCCCAGAGTTGGGGGAGACCCTATTCCTATACCTGTCCGCCTGCAACGAGGCCGTCAGTGCGGTCTTGGTGCGGGAAGACGGGGGGACTCAAAGACTGGTGTACTACGTCAGCCGAGCTTTACAAAGGCCAGAGACGCGATACACGCTGTCGCGCCCCATTTTTTGGAAAAATAAAATGATTGTTTTTGTGATTTTATTGGTTTGGAAAAAGTGAATTTTTTGATAAAAATAAAAATGGGTCTAAATGGGACTTTTGAAAAAGCGACGATTTGACCCAAAAAAATAGTTTTCAAAAGGGTTTTTGAATGAGAAATTGGAGTCGCCACTTGGTAATGATTAAGGTGTACCAAGTCACCTAAAATAAATTTTTAAAGACAAAGTAGTAAAACCCTTTTAAAAACGACTCCTAGTCCACGTAAGCCAAAGAAAAAGGTTCGGGAGTCACGTTTGACAAAGGGGAAGGCAAGGATAGAATCCAAGGCACCCCTTTGACCTAGCCAAGGCTAGTTGCGCGACTTAACCTTACCTTTCCTAATTTCCTACCCAATATATGTATCGCACGTTGGATATGACTATATGAATGCAAAACGGAAAGGAAAATGCAATCCTAAATTCTACGATGTCTCTTGTGAGGCTTTTGGTCCCAAACCACATGAATTGTGGCGGCCAACAAAGGAAAACCTCATAGAGGTCGATTAATGCAAATGAGAGTTCAATTTCAAGCGTGCAAGTGTGAAAGTGTATGCAAGATGCAAGAAAATGTAAGTGCAAGTGTGCGAACGTATAAAAAGGTGATTGTGTGAAATTGTATAAAGTTCAAGTGTTTTTTGTGTGCAAGTGTGTGAAAATAGAATAATAGATAAATAAGGTAAAGCGGAATTTCATTTGTGAAGTGAAAATAAGCGAGTGATAGGTGAAATGTAGTGAGAAAGTATGGTTTTGAGAAATGTGAAAAAATGTGGTTAAAAGAATATGTAGGTGATAAAAATGAAAGTATGACCCTAGAGGAATGCAACAAGTCGGGTACGGGGGTTGACTCCTAACTTTTCGACTTCGATTTTCCTTTTGATTAGAAGGCGAAACTAGCGTGCTAAGGCTATCGAGTAGCCACACTCGCTCGTTTTCCTTATCGGAAGGGGACACTCAAGCAAAATGAACCCTATAGCTAGCATGAAATGCAAAAATCCTAAAAATGGAGGGAAAAGGGGTTTGAGGGGCATGCAAAATGATAAAACTAGAAAGAATGCATGATATGTGGTGAACAAGCAAATGACGTACTAACAAGGGAAAATCCCTAAGGATCTAGCGTTGGACTAGCCCATTCTATGAATTCCGACTAGCGTTGGACTAGTGGAAACGATAAAAAAAATCACAACTAGCGTTGGACTAGTGTGGTGACGTACATTCATTCATTCCATTCATCTACACTATGAAAAGCGAGTAGACATGCGAATCACCTAAAACACGTAGCACGTAACACTTAGCATGCTCGACTAGATGCAAAAATCCTAATAAAGCATTTAACACATAACATATAGCAAGCAACCAAACTAATGAACTTATTACATTTGCTAGCTAGGCACACGTCTTCAATAGGTCTTCATCGGATGCTCCTCCAAGTCCTATCTATTACAAGCCAAGAGGTGTACACATACCCCATAAAGAAAAAACTTAATAAAGCAAAAGTAAATGAAAGGAATTAAAGAAATGTAAAGAAAGCAAAGTAGGCATGCAATTCACTTAACACGTTGGGTCACATAGGAGAGAAACAAAAGGGATAAAAGAAATTATACCGCCCCTTTGAATGGTGTCCAAATGAAAGAAAAATGGCTTCAAAACAATAAAAAGATTAAGGTACCTCAAATAGTAAAGTATAACAAAGTCACCAAATCTCTCCTAATTGCAATTTAAATGAAATCAAATAATGCATAAGTTTCAAGAAAAGGACCCACCAAGGACCCAATTACCAACTAAAGACCCAATTGCAAACCTTAGTCAACCATTCGAATTCAATCGAAACATTTAAGCACTCCAAAGGTCCCAAGAGCCAAGAAAAGGTCAAACCACATCTTATTCAGGGAAATTAAAGAAAATAGGCAAACACGAGCTCATTCGGTCATAAACCCCTAAAGTCATGACTTAAGTGCAATTGACAAAGCATAGTAGTTAATTTGAAGCAAAGCAAGCAATGAAGTTTCAAAATTAAAACTACCAAGGACTAAATTGAGGAGATTATTCAATTGATTGGGTCCTAGTGGAATAAGGGGGATCTTGAGGGGTTAAAGGGCAATTTTTGGGAACTTTTTCATGCAACCCATGCAAATTAACGTGGGAAGACATTTTACAACAAACATTTCTGCTGAAAGTTTTCTGCAATTCGGCACTTGCTGCAATTCATAAAATCCAGCTTTCAAATGCCATCAAATCCAAACAAAACTCCCACACAATCCTCTCACTTTGCAACATGAAATTTGTAGATTTAAACACCAAAAGTCTGACCAAAGAACATGCAAAATCTGGACAGTTCAAGCCACTTTATATAAGCAAAACTTCAGGCATCTGAAGCTTTCTTCTATCATTTTCTGCTGCGAATTTGCAGTTAATGAGCAAACCAGAGAAATAGCAACCATCATTAACACAAGATTCAAATGTACAAACAAAATGATGAAACCAACTTGTGAGCTGTTGCGGGAATAAAGAAACATGAAACTAATGCAGCTTCATAAAAAAAAAGTGAGAAAGCTTCTGCAACTACTTCATATACTCTAGCAACTAAGAAAGAAAATCTGCTGCCTTCTTTCCTCAAACCCAGATTTTTTTTTTTTGAGCACAACTTTGATTAGATGTCTCCAAACCAACATCATAGATTCATACTAAGCAACCAGTGTCATAGTCACCACCATTCAAACAAGCAGAAAACTCAGCAAAATCTAGTGCAAGAAAAATCTGGAAACATGCAAAACTGGTTCGACAAAACTGGTTGCTTATTTTCAACAAATATTCTAACATGATTCAAAAGTTTTAGACCTACACAGGCATACTCCACTCACTCATCCAATTTTCTCTCATCAAGTAGGTAATGGAACTCATTTGGTGGGCTGCTACGGGAAAGAAAACAACCAAAACAAGAGCATGAAATGCAGCTTTCTTTCATTCAACCAAAGACTCCAAACTCTTACTTTAACAGAATCCAATGATAAAACACTTCACGGGCTGGATTAAGGCAATAAAAATGACCCAAAGCACAGAGCAACAGGAGGGACCCCAGATTTCATGCATCAAGAAAAACTATAAAAATCATTAGCGCCAATACGCAACTGAATGTAAGATTGCGGCAGAGGTACTACCGTTCACGGCAAACATGCTCACAGATTCAAAAACAGATTCCAGCAAAACTCTCTTCTTCTAAAAGACTTTAACTGGGAACTTTCCAGTTTTAAACAAATGCAGCCAGGACAATTAACAACAACAAAAATTCAGCACGGTTGAAATTCATGCTGGAACAGAATTTTACTGTGGCTTCAGACGCAGGTTCGAATGAACCAGCCATGGAAATGTTATTCTCTTTTCAAAGTTAACATCTTTACTACTAGACTACAGCTTGAGAATGAAATTAACAACACCAAAACAGATTTGGAACCCTAACAAAGTTTATTTATGTAGCATAACAGCAAAAGACCGCAGCTTTGCCACTAACGGTAAAGAAATAACTACTGCGACCAGATTTTTCATACTTGCGGACTCAAAGCCAAGAGAAATGATCAGAAACATCAAGTAAATTCCTAACTCTCATGGACAAAGATTTATTAACAGAGATTGACTATAGGACAAGACTAAAAGGGACCTTACCTTGCTGTTTCGGTAGAGTTAGCGATGGCAAAAACTTGAGCTTGGTCTGAACTCACCAAGTTTCCGTAGCTCCCCCCTGATTTGCCTCAAACTCAGTTGTTTTCCTTCAACCCTCGATAAACTTTCTCTTTCACGGTGGTTCCTCCCCCTCAGATCTTTTTTCGCCGCCTCTCTCTTGCTCTCTGGTTTTCTTTTCTTTTTCCAGATCTCCAGCCGTCACTCCATGTTTCTGCCCTTTTGTTTCCTGCCTCTAAGGCCCTAGCCGTTCCCGGCTCTCTTTTCCCTTCAGCTCCTAAGCTCTCTCCCTACCCCCAGATTTTTTTGTCCAAGTTCCTTCCTTCTCCAACCTTTTGCCGTCTATTTTCTATCCTTTCTATCCTCCCTTGCGGCTCTCCTTTTTTTTTTTATTTATATGGAGGCCAAAAACAACCTTAAAACTTCGTCCTTTCTGCTGTTTTTGCAACCCAAGTACTCATCCGAGTCTTCACTTTGCAAGTCGCGGCAACTTGCATGC